CCAAAGTGAAAAACTTTTTTTATTTACTGGCTCAAGATTTTTTGAACAAAAAAATTGTTTGGCCACTGGCCTGCAGAAGTGCCATGCAAAGTTTCGTGGGCATAAGTAAATTAGTAAATGAGATAGAATTTGTTAAAACACGGCCAAACGAAAGTTAACAAGCTATAAAGATGGTTCTCTACAAAATCTGTATTATACGGAAACAGGCAAAATTATGTTGGAACAGAAGAAAATAAGGCAGACAGGAGAAAATAAAACAATAAGGAGTCACTCAGATATTGAGACCAAGCGATAGTATTGAAAGCTCTAATTCACAGCTGTCGTTTGCACTTTCAATTGCAAGGAAGGAAAAAGATAATTGCAGTATCAACCCTGTTTCTGCATGTCTACATTATCAACTGGGAAATAGCAAGGATGAAAGAACGAATGACTGACCCTCGGAAAACACATCATAAACACACATAGACAGACACACAGACACGCACACACAGATAGACAAACACACACACACACACACACACACACACACACACACACACATACACACACACACACAAACGCGCACACTCACAAATATACTCACACACATAGAAAATCTAGAGAGAGAGATAGATCGATAGAGAGAGAGGTAGATAGATAGAGATAGATAGATAGGTAGATAGAGAGTGTGAGAGAGAGAGAGAAAGAGAAAGAGAGAGAGAGAGACAGAGAGAGAGAGAGAGAGAGAGAGAGAGAGAGTGAGAGAGAGAGACAGAGACAGAGACAGAGCTTTGGATGTGATACATCGTTCCACTTACTTTTCATCTACATTGGTATTGTCACACTCAGCATGCCGTCGCACATCATTGTCGACACTGCTGTTTCTCTGGTTCACACAAAGTAGATTAAAATTCTCAGCCTGTTGACCTTCTAGTCGCTTTCTTCCACCTTTGCGCCCTCTTGGTGTATGACGGCGACTCTGATACTTCTCTGATCGTTTTCGTGCCATGTTTATCAACGCGCAACTCAAAATTTTCCGTAGATTTTCAACAACAAAAATCAAACTGCGGGATGCTTTTTGCAATTATGAACGTATTCTTTAGAGCGGAAGTTTTCGCAACTTTTTTGCATTCTCTATTAGTGCTATTGGGTGCAACGTCAGCTTTTTCCATCTACAACCTCAAATATATTATTTATTATTCCGCCAGCTTTGTGTTTTAGGGTAAAACGTCATTTTTTTGCGTGCAGGAAAAGGGGGGGGGGGGTGTCATCTTTGCGAGCGTTTTTGAACATGTTCTGATGCTGACAGGGACATAAGACCTTCATTTTGTGAAAGTAGACATTTCAAAGTACTCGAATCCGTTAAAAGCCCAATTTCGATCTAAGACTAAAAAATGACGTCATTTGATCATGGCCTTCCCCCGCATCATGCCTTAACCCTGTGCAACTAGATTAGAATCTATGACATATATGATAGACTACATGATCAAGAAACGAAACGTAACACACTTCTTGAAGTACTTTGATATATGTATGTGCCAATTTTTGTTTTTATATGTTGAATAATAACTACAATACAGGCTTCTGTCCAAGTGGAAAGTTTCTATTGCCGCTGTGTATTGGCCTACAATAGACATTATTGCTGTGCTTCTGGCTTGTTTTGTTATAAATAAACCTTTACTTGAAGACCTTTTCAGTAATGATTAGTTCCTCGTCCTCCAATTGAAAAAATATAAATATAGATTATTTTTATTTATTTATTTATTTATTTATTTATTCATTTATTTATTTATTTCTGACCAACCGAAACATCAAGAGCTGACTGAGTACTGAGTAGCAAAATAACACACGAGGATAGGCATTCCGCAGCGGGCGACATGCTATGATGCTGATTTTTACACAAGTTTGTCAATAAGTTATGTGACAAAGCTTGCATTCACTGCATGTAAAAACAAAATACATCTATAGAAAGAATGTCTTTTTTATGTTTCTTTTCGTACCAGTGACGTTTTTGGGATATCATTTTGTGCTTGCTTTTGAGTGGAGCAAAATGTGTGTGTATGGGCGATTTTGTAACTCTGCGGCCGACGAAACGAGGTCACAAGCACACTGTGTCATCGATACCGGGCATTATATTATGTTTGTATTAAAGAAAGACCAATTATGCGTCTCTGATTAAGAGGTCAATGAAGAACATAACACAGGAATAAGAAATGCATTGGCTTTAACGGAAAATCAATAATATCGTTAATATGCGCTGACGTTGCACTAATTTTGAGGCGCTGATTACGAATATGACATTAGATTTTCAATCCGAACTTAAAATTTAAATGTTTTAGTTAGCTCCGGCTGGGCCTGTGGCTGATGTGTAAACCTTCATCCCGTTGTCAAGGCTAGGAGAGCGTGAGCCCTTAGAAAAGAGAAAGCGAGTTAATAAGACATATATAGATTTAGATCAATAGATTTACTTCTATGTTGTATTCTTTGTATTCTCTCTCTCTCTCTCTCTCTCTCTCTCTCTCTCTCTCTCTCTCTCTCTCTCTCTCTCTCTCTCTCTCTCTCTCTCTCTCTCTCTCTCTCTCTCTCTCTCTCTCTGTTACCCACTCATAATTTATCTATATGTGTGCATGTTTGTCGTTTTAACTATAGTAGCCTATTAGTTCTCTCACTCCCTCCCCCTCCCCCTCCCCCCCCTCTCTCTCTCTCTCTCTCTCCCTCTCTCTCTCTCTCTATCTCTCTCTCTCCTGCTATTGTAGCGTTCCCTGGTTAATACTAATTGACACTATCTTTTGATTTTTAATAATGCATACTCCTAAAGATCCTGTCATCAATACTATCTCATTAATACGATCAATAATATTGCATTGGATATATTCTAGGCCTAGATTTCGTGATTGTCAATGTCTAGGCCTAGATCTAGATCTAGATTTAGTAGATATATATCGTGAGCCTATGCACCCGGTGCCCGGTACCGGTAGGCTACACTAGATTTATCCTCTGATCTTATCACTCGTCGCGTTACCTGTTTTTTTGGGGGTGTTTTTTGTTGTTGTTGTAAAGTGTTTTACGGCGCTCGCAACTGCATAAGGTCATATGAGCACGCGGGACACACCTAATATTTTCAGTTGGTAGGAAATTTTGAATTTTGCCCAGGTGGCGGCCGAAGCCTACTCTTATCGATTTTAGACCACCAAGGGATCTTTAACGTGCGCAATTTGCACACGGGCCTTCCGAGATTTTTCGCCCTTGTCTGAGAAGGCTAGGTGTAGATCTTTCCTAGATCTACCAGATGATCAGGGGTGTGGCAGAAAGACAGCAGTATGGGGGAGCCAAGGAGTAACAGTAGAAAGGCTGCAGAAAGAGTAAGGAGCCCTGAGGAGGGGGCAATGGAGGTGAGGGGGTGGGGGCAGAAAGCGGAAATGAAAGCAGACAACAGAACATTGCTAGAGAGCAGGAAAGGAGGTGAAAGGAGACAATTTTAGAGAAGAAAACCCAGGACCTTTGAATGAGAGGCCAACACCTTAACCTCTAGGCCACGAGAGCCCCCTCACTCGTTACCGAAGTGAGACTATTTTTTAATCTAATGTTTTTCTTCTTAAATAATCTAGATCTAGATAAATTATTGAAACACGTGGATCAATACTTAAGTTTGGTAGATAGATCTATATTTAGATCGATCTAGATTCTAGATTAGAATGGGCCCTAGAGTAGGATTAACTAGGACTCTCTCATGCTCTATCCAACAAGCCCAGGGCCAAGCCATCGGGTCCCAGTCACACGCTCGCTGGGGGCGTGGCCTATTTTACGCGTGCTACGTTTTTTTTAACAAAGGGAAAGAGGCAGCTGCAGAATCTTACCGTAGGGTGTAGTATCTTTGGGCAGCATTTTCACAGAAAATGGAAAATTAGATCGAGAAATAGAGACTAGATGCCAGAGAGCCAACGCAGTCAGCTACCAACTGGGCCCTCTCCTGAAACATCCCAATATCCCCATGAGCACCAAGGCGAAGCTCATCAACGCCATTTTCCTTCCAACGCTCACATATCAGTGCCAGGCATGGACTCTAACAAAAGCCCTAGAGAGGAAACTGGTCACATGCGAGATGAAATGCTTAAGAAGAGCGGTCAACAAAACAAGAAGAGACAAAATTAAAAATGAAGTCATAAGGGACACCGTAGGAGCAACACCAGTCCTACCACACATTGAAAAACAAAAGGTCAAGTGGTTCGGACACCTCACGCGGATGCCCTCAAACCATCCAGCTCTGAGAGCATACAACATTAAATATTCTGGATGGAGAGCCAGAGGAAGAACAAGGCGACGATGGAGTGAATCTGTGGCGGACACCCTTAAAGATCATGGGATGTCCCTCCTACAGGCCACACGACTTGCTGCAGACAGACACCTGTGTCTCCCCGCGACACCCCAGGGTACAAGCGGAAGAAAAAAGTAAAAGTAAAAGTAGTATCTTTGGTTGAACTCGGGTCGTTTTGTGGGGTTTTGAATGCTCTCAACCCACCTGGCTTGGTTCTATCGGAGACAGACGTTAAATTCGGAATTCCCGACTCTTATACAACCAATTATAGTGTTGATAAGTGTGTACTTTACTAAGTCCAAGGGTACGTGTATACTGGAAATCAAAGCATACGGTAGGCCTGCCCAGTGTAAAAGATTTATTATACAGTTATTTTTTTTTCTTCTATAAGAGGTTACTTTGCAAACCTTTGCGATAAACGACTACTATAAGTAAACAACGTTGCAGCACTTCTACTAGCTAGCTTCTAGCATCCATGCAACCCAAGACTCAGTAAGTCTTAGTCCGTCTTGGATGCAACTGCAGCGAGGCTACCAAAATAAATCTTTAGTTCCGGTATCCTCGAACTGCAGCCATCAGGAGTCTCCGGATGTTGTGTCATTGCACCATTTCGGAACCCCCCCACCAGTTTTGTCAGCAATCTCCCCACAGATACTAAAATCTATGGAGTGGACAATCCGGCAATCCAGCCAGACACTAGACACTAGACACAGACACAACAGTAGGCTAGAATGAAAATTGAAAATAAAAATGGCCGAAGAAGAGATACTTGATGTTGAAGGCGAATATGATTTCCAAGTCGAGTAAGTGCAGAATGAGTCATTTGATGATCATTCTTTATCGTTGACTCGTGTAGAGATCTAATATTTCATTAATGCATGCGTTCTGATTAACTCAGAAATGAGGAAACTCGTTGAAAATAGATCCGAGCTCCTTTATGTGGCCTCTTTGAACATTAGCAGTACCACCACTACTCCAGTAGATTTTGAGAAAGAGCAACTTAACTTTAACTGATTCCGTCCATGATTTTTTCAGGCTCTGGACAGAATTATTTTTCCCTGTTCAGTTTTAGACCTGGGGTACATCCAGTGGCGGTGGGTGGACCCAAATTTGGGTGGGGCTTAGGTTTCTTCCAGTTCTTTACCACCAAAGGCAAATAGCAAGCAATAAGAATTTTAAAACAGTGGTGATTTTTCTATACTCACGGCGAGCCACGACAGTTTGAGAACCATTCAAACGAGAAGAGTTGCCTTTCTTTTCCATCTCTTTGTTTTTAGTTAAATTCTTGTTGATGGTTGGGACGAAGCCGTTGCACCTCCAAATTTCCTCTAGATCTAGATCTAATTAGTTTTCGTGTGATGAAAAAAGTTGCCTTACACTTACACACAAGTAGTTCGACCTGATTTGTTCTGTTAAATCTCAGCAGCACAAAACAAACATGCACACACAGCACTTCAAACATTATTCTTCTATGAGCTGGACGAGGCCGTGTAGTTGAGAAAGTTGAACGCACCCAACAAAGAACCAATGAGCGCATCGGTATCTGTGTCAGTGGGGGAAAGTGTGTCGTAAACTTTCACCCCATTGTCAGGGCTAGGAAAGCGTGTGAGCCCTCGATACAGTGTTATTTTTTCCCAGTCTTCTACCTTTTTGCAAGAAGAGTTTCATTAAGGACGAGCTGTGGGAAAAGGGCTCATCTTTGTGAGCCCTAAAGACATTTGATTGGCTGCTGGGTTACTATAGTTATAATTATAATATAAGCGGTGACAACAGTAATTGGATAGGCGAGCAAGCCGCCAAGTTGATCACTCTGTGTTCATTGCGTGCGGTCATAACGGTTTCAACTGCTTGTTTCATTTGGAGAAATATATATTTACTTTGGGATAGAGTTGGGGGTGGTGGGTGAGGAGGGGGTAGGGGCTCAAGCCCGTGAGCCCTTCAATACCCACCGCCACTGGTGGGTGCATCTATTTAATGCATTACTGTGAAGCTGAAACTTACTCTAATAGATATGTATTGTCATATACCAAACTGATGGGAATAAATAGAAGAATCTGTATATAAATAACAATGACCTATGGCCACCTCTATTCTCACCCGGAGTGAGAATAGTGCAGGCGAGTCTTGTGGCTATTCTCACCCGGTGCGCGTTCACCAAATTTTGCGTTCACCCTAAACCACAGAATGCTACACTGTGATCACAGAAAAATTGTAGAATTCTGTGCCGTGAACAGACGTTCCATTACAACTGTAGCCTACTAAATGCGTACAATTTTGTCTGTGGGCAGTGGAGAGGAGAGAGAAAGAGAGAGAGGAGTAGCGCGAGAATTTCCGGGCAAAACAAAATGGCGACCCGCGTAGGTCGGCTTGGTTCGGCTCGATTCGAAAAGTTAAATAGCCGTAGCATCTTTGTAGACAACCAAATTGATTTACTTTTGTGTTTTAACATCATTTTTTAACTTTGTTTTGGTCAATTTGATCGTCCACACCGATAGACAGTATTCAGAAAGAGACAGAGAGAGAGAGAAGAGGGGAGGAGTTGATCTTGCGAGAACTTCCGGGCGGGTGAGAATAGCCACTTTCATGACCTATAATTGGTTTGTGTTGCATTTTCCTTCAGACAAAAACGAATGAGGGAAAAAAAATACGCAACAGCTCTTCGAAAATTTCAACTTACCGCATTTTCTCAGCTCTACAAGTCCTTATAATCCATAGGAATCAACACAACATTGTAGCGATATCACCCTAGCACACATTTATGCAAGAATTTCACAAATTTAGTTGAATATCTTTCATTGAAGGGCCTTTTTATTATATAAATACCAGGCTCCGTGTTGTTTACCCTTAGATCTAGCCTACATCGCGACAACAAAACAACGATTTTTGCAAGAATTTCGCGGAGTTTCGATCGATATTGGCGCTCAGAGATTGAGGTCAGGTTTGTTTACAAGTTCTACTTTCTTTCGACAACATAAAAAGTCGGAATTATGTTAAAAAGTGCTCCTTTGTTTCGGATTTCGTTGAGCCGCTCACAGCGGTCGAATGGACGCAGCGGTAAAACTCAGAGCTGCTGTCAGCGGCCGAATGGACGGAATCAGTTAAAGAGAGGCGAGATGAGCATGGAGGAGTGTGTTGAGCTCAGTGAACGGAGTGTTTAAAAGAAATTTCAGGGTGTAAACTAGACTCTGTAAACAAAGTTTGGGTACTAATCTAGATATCTACTTAAGAATCCGGGTCCCGCTTGGGGATATTTAGATCTAGATCTAGATCTAGATCTAGATCTAGAATCTAGTTTTGACCCCACTGACGATTACTTCTGGTTCTAAATGATTACTTTTTGATGAGTGTGCCGATATGGAGAGATACTATCTGCTATCAAACCTAGATCTAGGTTAATTGCAAAACATCAAGTTATGTTCAAATTCAGGGGGGCACGCCCCCCCCCCCCCCCCCCCCCCCCCCGGTCTCAATGTTTTTATTTGCCCCCCCTGAAACCCCCCTTTCCTTGTTGATAAATAGATATAGATCTAGTGAATTTTTAATGCTCATTTTGTAGGCTGGATCTAGATCTAGTTCAGAGAGTTTACAGTAATACTAGAGAGATAACACTTCCCCCGGATGCGCGTATCTGGGTCACCAGCTGATCGTGGAGAAACGCACTGTAAACAAAACAAACTGCGTCCATTGTTCAAGGCATTTTCGTTGATCGCAGACAAGCATGGCCCCGGTTAGCACAAAATGTTAATTGTGTAATGCTATAAACTGAACCTATTAGAATGAAAATCTGAGTTTCTTTCCATTTCCAAAGAATGACGGAATATATTTTGATGAATAGAAAAATATAGATCTAAATAATGACAATGTGATTGTGGTCCTACCACACTGACACTCCATGCACAAACTCAACACACTTAAACTTTGTTATATCTATAAATTTATTTTTTTTCTGTCTAAATGCCCAAATTGAGCTTGCATTCTGAGCATTTGCCAAAAGGTGGGATACCTGGGTGTGACAAATGAGGTCCAAAATCAACTTTATGTAATAATTCTTTAAT